GGAGATGGGTAGTTGTTTTCTCAAGTCCCTCTACTGTTACATGAGGAAGGGGGAGAGGCAGCAATCCAGGGACGCAGCTTTTCTGTCTTGAGGTTGACCAATAAACAGTCCCCCCTCTCTCCCTCTCGCTTTTAGACGTGGAATCCTTAAATCTCCTGCCATTGGCAGATAATGTGAGCTTTCGGCTGATTTACTGCTGTCCCTCTTGGCCTCAGTGCTGGAGATCTTCTGCTCCAAGTCCTGGCCACTCTTAATACTCATCTTGGGCGCTAGCCAAGCTCCCTGCTGCATGGTTCACGGAGCTTTCGAGACCGACATTCATGCCTTTCACATCAAACGCAGCTCCGCCAGGCCTCATAAGTCTTCCCTGCGGCCTCCACCTTCTGCCCATTAAACATCTGCTTGAAACACTTGAGTTTTGGTTTTATTTTCCTTGGGCTCCCGGCTCCCCGGCTAATCCTAAGTAAATGTCGCTCTCCCAGATCAGACGGCATCAAGGTGTTTTTGTTGAGCAGGGAAGTTGCAGGTTTTTGAAAGTTTTTGAAAAGTTTTTCCCCCTGTCCCTCCCTTCCAGAGCCTCTCTGGAAAGGGGCTGCTTAGCCTCTCAGGGCCAGCCGTGTACCTGCCGCCACCTGCCTGGGGCTGAGGGGAGGAGAACCCTATTGGGAAGGGTACTGGAGTGGGATATTTGTCTGGGGCGGGTACCCGAAGATGAGAGTTATGCTGCAGGGTGCGTGGGATGTGCCATTTCACATCAGTCGGGGGGTGGGGTAGGCTGGGGGAGCTGCAATAGATCGCTGCTCGCGAGGAAGGCCGGCGTACGCTCCCTGATCAGCCTCTGCGTTAGTAACCCGGGGTGGATGGCGTTCAGGTCCACAGGACAGCGGCTGTGTTTGCAACCAGCTCCGCTCTCTCACACGGCGTCGTTCCCCCTCTGCGGCGGGGGGAGACGGGCAGGCGACGGGAAGCCCCCGGCTGTTCATTCCAGCGCTGCGAGGAGGCGCGCGGCAACAAAGGCTCTCGCCCCCGCACCGGCGCCTGAGCAAACCCCGCATGCCCTCAGATGGGGCAGGCTCCCCTGTAGATAGTAGGGGCTGGGCCAGGGGGCGGGGGCGACCGTGCAGCGCTGTCGAGTCAGGCTGGGTTGCTGAGCAGTAACTCACCATGGGCGTCCCCAGGGGCCTGTACTGAGACAGCTGCCACCCAGCCAGCCTGGGGGAGGAGGGACCTGCCTGCGGGAGGATGAGAGCTGGACGGGGTCTGAGGAAATGCAATAAGTAGCTCCCCGGCGGAGTTATGCCGCTTCTGCCGAAGGGCCCTGGGGGGTGTTTTTGAAGGGCACCGGTGACCTGCAGTGGCTGGATCAGTTATTCCCACGTCTTGCTGCTGGATGATGGAGACTTGTGGTTTGGGGATTTTGCATCACTTGGGCCAGATCCGAGTAATGGCACCAATCCAGCCTCCTGGGGCAGGTGGGTCCCCCTGTGTAAGAGGGGGAGTGTACTGCTGTGACGTACCCAAGAGGTCCCCAGCTATTTTGCCTGTAACTACGATGCTGTAACTCTCTGGGCAAAGGTTCCTACTCCAGACAACCCCCAAATGCAGATTTTTCACCTTCCTTTTGGCATCTTGCTTCTGCAGGCTGATAATGCTGAAGTTCTAAAAGGGTGCTGCCAGCTAACCAACACCCTGGGTCCTGCTCTCCTCTCGCTTTGTGTGGTTACACATCCAGGCTGCTGAGTCGGGCCTACCCTTGCTGTAAACATTTCCCTGCATCCTTCGCAGCCCAAATATTTGTACTGTGGTAGTGTGAGCTAGACAGACAGGGCGGTCTGGTGGATAAGGCGCAGGTCGGGGTCCCATTCCTACTGACCGAGGTGCATGTCACTTTACCTCTGTGGGCCTGTTTCACCTCCATCCTTTGGCGTGTTTGTTCAGATTGTGGGCTCTCTAGTTCAGGAACACTCTGACTATATCTCTTAGTACAGTATGGAGCCCTGATCTTTGGCAGAAGCCTGTAAGCACTACCACTGCAAAAACACTAATGAGATTACTGAAAGTGCAACTCACCAGAAACTGACACAGTCACTGTCCAAGAGGAGGGAAATGAAAAAAGGAAACAAAACCACACAAAGCAGGAGAGACATCTGTAAATGTTTTCAGTTCTATTCGTGGATTTATTTACTTGGACAGTGTCTTGCAAATAAAGACGCCCCTTCACAACCAATCTCTTAGGATTTATGTGTATTACAACCTACATTAGCTCCCCCACAAGACACCGCCACCAACTGAAATGCTGTAGTCGAGACACAGGGCTGAATTGTAGGTGCAAGGTCTCGCCACATGTGGCTTGAGGCAAGAAGTACGCAGAACGGGCCAGACTGACTCTCCTCTTCCTCTTCTGCTGATCCGAAACCTCTCATCACCTCTCATCACATATCGCGCTGGTGAGGGCAGCCGAATAGGAATGCACCCTGCTGAAATAGCTGTCCGTGGCTGGATTTTTGCCACCAAAGCTTTCTAGCATCGCCTAGGCTTCAGAAGCACAATTCAGTGCACCTATCTTGTCCGTGGCTGGATTTTTGCCACCAAAGCTTTCTAGCATCACCTAGGTTTCAGAAGCACAATTCAGTGCATCTATCCGTGGTCCCTTATGTGAGCTGTGTTGTAAGCCTATGTCATGTCCTAGGAACGTTTAGCTATTGCCTTTTAAGATTCTTTCTGCTGGCGGTGAGGACCGGAGAAGGAAAAAGTAAGGGATCGCTCCTGGACCATGCAAATCAGCATTACATTTGTAGAAAAGTCCAGCCATAAGGGAGTATGACTAGTAAAAGATCTGGGAAACTTTAACAAGCGGTCAAATGATTCCACAGCAAGGTCAGCCAACAGTAATTACACATTGAATTTAATAAGGATTCTGTCTACAACTATATTAACTAGGATGAAACTCACCAGAGCTATCAGTCCGCCAGCATCAAGGGGTATAAATTCATTCCAGGCTGGGGTCACAAAGACATTTCTCCCCCGCGGGATGGGTACTGCTCAGCTGCCCCAGTGCATCGTGGGGGTTTTATGCCGTCCTATGAAGTGCTTAGCAAGCAGATGGTTGCAAACAGTGGAATACTTGAGTAAATGGAATGTTGCTCTGTACACTTTTCTTTTTTTTTTGCGGGGATTTGAATGTTATATTGTTTTAGCAATACAAGCTGATATTGGTCTGTTCTGGTATGGCAGTTCCTATACCAGAAAGATATTCACAGATGGGATGGAGTACAGAGGAGAGCCACAAAAATAATAAAGAGGCCAGAGGGCTTTACTGGGGAGGTACATTTGAATGAGCTAAGTTGTGTATCCCTTGGCTCCGGGATAGGGCAGGGATACACAACTTAGCTCAGGGAGATGGAGTGCATGTATCGGAAGGCTCTGAGCAGCATGGAGGGAGAAGAATTCTTTAGGGTGGCACAGGGGGAAATAGCTGGGGGAGGGGTGTGAAATTGAGGAATGGAAAATTTCAAGGAGGGGTAGAAATGTTTTCTAATCCTGAAATCTGGTAGACTGGCATAGTTGCCCAGTGTAAGTCAGGAAGCCCCCGACTTTGGACAGTGAAACCTTTGCTGAGCAAAGCGTTAGGAAATGTGCGGCCAGAAGCGGTGCTGCCTCGTTAAAGGTGTGGATAACTAAGGCCTTAATTAAGCAAAATCGTGAACTCCTAGAATCACAGAACACTAGGACTGGAAGGGACCTCGAGAGGTCGTCGAGTCCAGTCCCCTGCCCCCACAGCAGGACCAAGCACCATCTAGACCAGGGTTTCCCAACCTATGGGTCAGGACCCAAATATGGGTCGCCATTACATTTCAAAAGGGTCACCAAGTGTCTCCCCAGGTGGCTCTGCTCTCCCTCCTCCCCCCGTTTTTGAATTGCCTTGGGTCACCAAGTCTTCCTGAATTGTCAAAATGGGTCCCCACCTGGAAAAGGTTGGGAACCACTGGGTAGACCATCCGTGAAAGGTTCTAACTTGCTCTTAACTATCTCCAGTGCTGGAGAGTCCACCACCTCCCTAGGCAATTTATTCCAGTGTTTAACCATCCTGATGGGTAGGAAGTTTTCCCTAATGTCCAACCTAAATCTCCCTTGCTGTAATTGAAGCCCATTGCGTCTTGTCCTATCCTCAGAAGTTAAGAACAACTTTCCCCCCCTCCTCCTTCCAATACCCTTTTAGGTACGTGAAAACCGCTCTCATGTCCCCTCTCGGTCTTCTCTTTTCCAAACTAAACAAGCTCAATTCTTTCAGCCTTCCCTCATCGCTCAGGTCTTCTAGACCTTAAATCGTTTTTGTCGCTCTTCTCTGGACTTTCTCCGATTTCTCCGCATCTTTCCTGAAATGTGGGGCCCAGCACTGGACACAGTACTTCAGTGGAGGCCTAATCAGTGCAGAGTAGAAATCCAGGCGAGTTCAGCACGCACTGAAAGTGGAGGGTTCTTGCTGAACAGCCATGGATTTAGCATGTGATGAAGGGTGGAGCTGAACTGGGGCCTAAACTCAGCCAATCACCTAGGCAGGTTCTTAACTTTCGGCGTGTGGTTAAACTCTTGGGGCAGAGGTTTCAGTGCGTTGCCGAATGGAAGCTTTCCTGTCGTTTCTCTGATTCTGTTCTCGGGCGAAGACAGCTGTATGCGCTACTCAGTATTGATTACTTGCAATCCTACCCGGAAAGCTGCCAAACATGCAGCCCAATTGGCTTGCAAAGGGGACTGTAGCTCTCTTCTCTTGCCCCCTTTTCTTTCTCCAGGCTCCCACTGCACTCGAACAGCAGGTGGTGTGGGTTGGGACACAGTTCCCAGCCAGGATCTTAAGATGAATTTCCCTCAGTCCAGGGGAAAAGGCTAAAGTCGAAGCCACAGAGCTAACAGCACCCCCTTTGGCAGCTTGCCCTTGCGGCGTTGGGGTAGTCCTCCAGACATGCAGTCCAGTCACCCCCCTCTGTGTGTGTGTTCCCCAGGAAACTGTTGAAGATCCACTGCCTGGAAACGGGAGTCTGGGAGGAAGGCAGCTGCATCCCAGTGCTGTGTGAGCCGCCCCCGCCTGTCTTTGAGGGGATGTACAACTGCACCCACGGCTTTGAGCTGGACACGCAGTGTGTGCTCCGCTGCGACCCTCAGAGCAAAAGGGTAAGAGTGACTTCTTGAAAGGGGACTGCAAGAGCAGCCCAAGCCAGCTGGAGGACTCCCGGGATGTGAGCTGGCCTGCAAGCCGCGTGGCTGACGAACGCGATGCGTTGCGAAGGATAGTCCGTGTCCGGTGCTGGCTTTATTTGCTGAATTACAAATCCAGCATCGAAGGTGGGATTTCCTCAGGGGCCCGCCAGAGATGTTTGCACTGGAGTCTCGAGGGTGGCTAGAAGAATTTTTCCCTTTGTCGGTTCAGTAGAAGCTTAGGACCCCAATCATGTGAGCGCTTTGCCATGTGCAACTCCCATGGGTTAAAGTTAAATCTGTGTGTTTGGTGCGCAACTGGAGCCAAAGCAGAGGAGAACCTGAAATATGCCCTGATTCAGCAGAGTACTCAAGCTCCAATGGATCTTAAGCAGGTGCTCAAGGGCATAAGGGCTTTGCTGAAATGAAATTTGGATTTCTGTGCTCGGCTTGAAGGGGCATCAAGACAACTCCTGAGACCTAGAGTAGACCCATGTGCATATAAGTATGTGAGCATAAACAACCCACAGGGGCCCACTGGGTTAAGAATGCTGAATTGGGATACCTTGGCTCCTGGTCTAGGAGACTGGGCGGCAAGTTTGTGTCCTAATTTTGTTCTTCTAAAACTTAGTCCGTTCCAAACAGAGCCTCGTGCATTCACCAGCCAACAAGGCATGCAAGCTGCCTGAATTATTTCATTCTGAATAATTCAATTATTTCGGTATGAATTAATTCAACATTTCACCCCAACAGGTATTTAACAAATTGAGGCCTCTCTTTTGTTCCCCAAATATTTGCAAAGCCATCGTCATTTATTTTAAAGATTAGTTTATTTGCAAAGCACTTTTTGCCTATATTTATATGCACACTGGACACTGGGAGCATTTCCTGGCTGCTGTTGGTCTCCCTAATCACATGGCTCTGGTCTGCCTTTTAATTGGATGACCTAGATTTTGGGTTTAATCGACAATCCAGAGCAAACGATGCAACTTTTTGTGTGATGGCGGAGGGTCCATGCGGAAGTTAGTGTGCGGCAAGCTAGCGTGCTGTAGATCCACATTCTGACTTGCCGCATGCTAACTCGACTTAGGCAGGGCCCACACTCAACAATATTGTCAGTGGCCATTCAGAATGGTTTTCTGGAGCTGAGGTCCAGCTAACGGAGCGCCTTTTCCACTGCATGAGTGTTTCTTTGTACTGGGATTAGCAATGCTTTCTGCCAGTGTTCTTCATGAAAGCGTACTCACTTGAATGGTTTTGAAGACACAGGCTTTCTGAGCTGCTTACTGGCTTTTCATCTGCAGGCCTGGTGACCTGCTATCTCCTGCTCCATGCCCTCAAAGCCATCCTCAGGAGATGAATAACTAGGCTCAGGTAGGGCTGAGGCCAGCTCCCCTGGGCGGGCCAGCCAGATTCATGACAGCAGGGGTAGCATTGGCCACCGCTCTGCAGATTTTGGGTTCTGTGCTGTTTTGTTTTGGTATATTTGGGTTTTGCAGCTAGTCTATACGCACCTGGCCTGGGATTATTTTCTTTCCCGTCCAGTTGCAGCAAATCTCAGGTGTGTGGCCAAGGCCTTTGTGATGCAATGGTTCTCATGAGCTCTTGTAGACTTTAAGACCCAAAGGGACCATCATGATCCTCTAGTCTGACCTCCTGCGCATCACAGGTCACTGAACTTCCCCCACTGACTCCTGCCATAGACCCATAATCCCTGGGGCTGTGTCTAGACTGGCCAGTTTTTCCGGAAAATCAGCCGCTTTTCCGGAAAAACTTGCCACTGGCCGCTTGAATTTCCGCAAAAGCACTGACTTCCTACTGTAAGAAATCAGTGCTTCTTGCGGAAATACTATGCTGCTCCTGTTCGGGCAAAAGTCCCTTTTGCGCAAAACTTTTGCGCAAAAGGGCCAGTGTAGACAGCTGAGATTTGTTTTGTGCAAAAAAGCCCCGATTGCGAAAATATCGATCGGGGCTTTTTTGCGCAAAAGTGTGTCTAGATTGGCCACGGCCGCTTTTCCGCAAAAAATGCTTTTGTGGAAAAGCGTCCGTGCCAATCTAGATGTTCTTTTCCGAAAATGCTTTTAGCGGAAAACTTTTCCGTTAAAAGCATTCCCGGAAAATCATGCCAGTCTAGACGTAGCTTGGGCGAGTTACCAAGAGGGCCAATAAAAGAAATCAAAGCCATCACATGCAAGGCAGCTAATGGGTTTCTCCCCAAAAGGCCAGCCCACCCTGTGACAGTCATGCGCTCTTGCAGTAATACTTACGGAAGAAAATCATTTGTACTGTCAATAGTTCTGCTTGTTTTTACATGAAAGGTTAATACCCTGTAAAACAAAAGGTTAGAAGCGGCTGAAAAGTCCCCTCTAAGCATGCCCTGGGAGCATTGCTCGTATTTTAGCAGCGCTTAGCAGAACCCTCGCTGCTTTGTGACACCGTCTCTGGCCAGAGGCGAGCTCACAGTGAGAAGCAGCTCCCTGGGCAGGTTATAGTAGGACTATTGCAAGTGTCACCTTGAAACGCGCGTGGGGAATTTCCTATGACGAGATCAAACTGCGCCGTGGCAGTTTGCTTGATAAGTACGTGGGACTGGGCTCCATGGGTTGGATTCCCCAAGTCAGCAACGCTCTGACTGTAGTTGGTGGCGACTTGCCTTTGCGTTGAGGGGGAGAAGGGTCACCCTGCACTTAATGTGGTGAGATGGAGGGAAGGTAACCTGACAAGGTAACCTGATTGAAATGGGCTGCATTGGGAGGCAGGTTATACTTGGTGGCTAGGGCAAAGGGAATAGAGGCAAAAGCCATCGCAGGGACTTTTGTACTGGCTGTGCAGTGCGGTCACATGGCTTCCTCTCTTCTTGGCATTCTAGGTTCCTATCCTTTGCACTAAAGAAGGCCTGTGGACGGAGGAGTTTAAATTATGTGAAAACCTTCAAGGCAATTGTCCACCGCCACCAGAGCTGAATTTAGTGGAGTACAAGTGTGAACAAGGCTATGGCATCGGTAAGGGCAAAAGAAGGATGCTGATTTCTGATCCAAACCCGCTTCTCTTGGCACAGGCTGTTGGTTGAGTCAGCCAGGTTTATTACAGGCCCCGAGGACTAAGGGAAAGGTCACACTGACTCTTGTGCTGCTTCAGTAATGTTCAAATTTATGACCGAGTTCCATCTTGTTTTTTGTCTCCTGTCTGCACAGCAAAGCCAGTTGGGTGGTTTATGGATGTACAAAACATCTGGCCACATTAGCAACAGGGCTTTAATCCTCATGCTGGCTTCGGGGGAAGGATGTGTCGTTTCTCGAGGAGAAGGAATGGGTCTGAGGCAGAGCACGGCTGTTTGCCGTGTTCCTCCGCCCTTTGCAGTTGGTTTTTTACTGGCGGGGTGGTGGTGATGGCGGTAATTGCTAGAGGGACGAGCTGGATTGCTGCCATGTCTTCGTGGATCCATACAAACTTTTTCTTTGGTCTAAATCCACTTGGGGTTATAACCCTCCCGCTTTAAAGAAACACTCCGTCAGAGCTGCCACATTTCACTTGGCTTTGCATCTAAATGGAGTGTTAATGCAAAACCCAAGTCGTTTTCCGTGCAACACTGTAAATCACCCAGGTCTGACCAAAACTGGGCCCAGGGTGGTGAAAAAGGCTCTTTAAGTTGAGCAAAACGTCTGATGCGCCTGGTGTGAGGTTGAGGCATGTGATGAAACCCAGGCATTTTCCCATGGCTGCAGGCTCCATTTGAAATATTTTGCACAGCTGCAATTTGATTTTTGAAAATTCTTTATTAAATGTAAATGCAGAGATCACAGGGCGGAAGGAGTTTAGGCATCACACTGCCACTTTAGGCTCCTCAGTTCAAAAGTTCAAGCCTCAGAAACCCTGCCCAGCTGCCACCTACCTCTGTAGACACCTACAGTTCCTAGGCACCTTGAGTTTTGGGAGTCCCCTAGGTGCCTACATTTCTGCCAGGGGCTATGCACACAGTCATCTATTTTGTGATGCAGCCGAGCCGGTGGGAGTCTCAGACGGTGTACTGTGGGGACAACTTTCTGCCAAACCGTTTTGCTCCCACCGTTGTAGAATTTGGCATGTTTTGTCAAAACAGCACTCTGTAACCACGCCAAGTTCAATGACATTGGTAATTTAGTTCAACATACCTGTCGGCAGCTACAAACACCCACACATGTCAGCCAGGAGTAGAGGTGAAAGAACTCCTGTGACAATCCATTTCCGGTTTCTCTGCCCCATCTCCACCAGAGCCCAGCAGGGCAGGGACAGACACCCGAACCACATGTCCCCCATGGGATACCGCCTAGCTCTGCCACTCACGTATCCTTCCCCTCAGAGTCCAGCTACGTGATCCCCACCCCTCGACTTACACTGCTTGCCCCTCCAGAGCCCAGGGACCCAGAGGGAGAAACAGCTTCATGCTCAGTCCTGGGCTTGTGTGGAGTGTGGGGCTTGCTGCCTCCTTCCTTCAGGCTGTGTGAGGCCTGCAGCTGCCGGGAACCCTCCTTCCCCTCTTCCCGGCATTGTCTTCTCTTTGCGAGCTGAGGAGCAGGGCTCTGCTGCGTCCAGAGGCCCCTCGTGGTGGCCGGCAGCTCTGCAGCACCAATTCTGAGGCCAGGGGGAAAGGAAATTCTGTGCAGAACCTTAATTCTTTGCCAGTTCTGCATTTCCTCATGAGTCACATCCGGACCCTTTTTACCTGTGTATCTGCCACATGCCAGTGATTTATAGTAGGCTGGGGTCATTTTTTTCCCCATTCTAATTCACTTTTTAGCTTTGAGATAATGAATCATTTAGACTTGAGCTCTGAGGGGCCGGGCCTTATTGTACTGCCATAGGACAGTAAGTCCGTACGTGTGGCCAATTCCATCCCGAGATCCTAATTTAATAGCCCATTGATTATGGAGAACACCGTGCTGTTCTAGGCTTAGCCATCCTTCCTGCAGTTCCCAGAAGGCTAGAAGAGATGAACTCTTCCAGGACGAGCTGGGATTTTGGAAGGGAACTCTAGACCAGTCCCCAGAACCGGCAAATAGAAGGTCTCTCCTGGGTCAGTTTAGTTCCGAGTTACCCCTAGACATAGGCCCCTTGTAACCACAGAAAGTGCTGCAGAGAGCAGCCTGTAAGTGGAACGATCCATTGGCAAGTCTCCAGTCCTGTGTCTCTTCTATCTCAGGTGCTGTGTGCACGCCTGCCTGCGTAATCCCCCCCAGCGACCCAGTGATGCTGCCCGAAAACGTTACTGCTGACACTATGGATCACCGCCTGGAACCTACCAGAGTCCAGGTAAAGGGGGTGTGGTGTGTGGCGGGGATGTGTCTCTCATTGAGGTACACTGAGGCAGAATGCTTCCTGAGATGTGGATCCCATTTGTAGCCAGCTCCCTGGGCCACTTTCAGCACACTCTGGGCACTGAAGGTGAGGCTACATGGTTCCTCCCACCCTTTACCTCCCTTGGCACTGGAACAAAGAGAGACAGCCCTGTGGGAAGAAGGGAGAGAGACTGGGGGAGGGAGGAAGAGAGACATGAACGTTCTAGGGAGGAGAGTGAGTGGACCAGCTGGGTACGTCTAAGGAGCAGAGGGTAAGAGGGTTCTACCTTACAGCATCCAGGCAATCAGACATAACTGCGGAGCTGTGCTTGGCCAGGCCAACCTGGCTTTTGCCTGGGACCTGCTGCGGCCTCCGCACCATGGACAATCAAGTCTCCTATTTACATGCCTAATATTGAATTAGGTGCTTCCCCTTAGACTCCTGCTGTGGAGGGGACACAGTGCATTATAGGCAGGGCTGGTAATGCTGCCTGTAGGTCACCTCTCCCAACACATCCAGTTACAAAGCCCTTTTTCCAGCCTTAACTATTCAGGGTGAAATTTTCCAACTGTGTTGGACCGTTGCGTCACTAGCGGCTCAGGCATTTCCAGACATGAGTAGAGGGAAACATGGTGTTTTGCCCATGCTAAAACCCATTATTGCGCCTGTCTCCTGGAGGAGCTGTAGCCCTCCAGTGCTTTGGAGCAGACGCTTGACATTTGGCTTGGGGTGGCCTTTGTGTCGGTGCCGGGCCGTGTGCCATCTGGGTGAAAATCCACCCAAATGTGTCCTGCTCCGCCCTGGCTTGTAACTTGGACGTTTCAGGCAGTGGCTGCTCCCTGCTGCTTCCAGCTACAGTGGGGCCAGCACTGGAGTTATGACCACAGAGCCTGTTTCTCCTGCTCTCTTAGTGACCCTCTGCCTGGCACTCAGCTAGCCTGGGAGAGGAGGAAACCATTGGAGTGAAATGGCAGTGGGACAAGAGCTGGACAGAGTCTGAGAAGGGAGAAGGGTGGCGGAAAGAGTAGGGTGCAATAAGGAACATGAAAGGGGGGCTGGAACAGAGGGACACAGGGGATGTGGGAGTGTGAGACAGAGGGGTACAGGGTACGAATGAGATCAGCTGAGGACCCGGGAGTGGCTGGGTAGGGCGCTGGCGGGATGACTGGGACTGACTGGGATAAAGAGCTGGTTGGGTAGAGAAGGAGAGAGGACTGGTACCTCTCAAGCATCTGGGCTGGAAAACAGGAAACTAAAGCCTCAGCATTCCCCTGTGATCACCAAAAAGCTGTGAAACCTTCTGCCAAAGAGGATAATAACCTACTACTGCTGACAGTCCAGGCTCTTTCTTCCCCTTGGTGCCTGCTCCCCGTACATCCCTGATGTGCAAACTGGAAAAAACCAGAAATTCCATCAATAGACACCACATAGCGGGAACCTTTAGACCCTCCCCAAAGACCTTTGCCACTTGAGCTACGATGATGAACACCTGGAGAAAAGCCCAGGAGAATATTAATAATTCTGTCTTCTGAGCAGCCTTTGAGTAGCATGCAGTAAATAAGGCTGAGGGTCACCCCTTGAACAAGGAGGAGAGAACCAAATATTGGCTAGTTGCTCCCCCAGTGAACGCTGTCCATCCCACACACGGAGTGAGGCATGTCATTAAAAGCTTAAGAACATAAGAACACCCTTACGAGGTCAGACCAAAGTCCATCTCGCCCAGTATCCTGTCTTCTGACAGTGGCCAGTGCCAGGTGCTTCCGAGGTAATCACCACCATCCTCTATTGCCCATTCCCAGCCCTGACAAACAGAGGCTAGGGACACCCTTGCCCATCTTGGCTAAATAGCCTTCATGAATTTGTTTGTTTTTTTAAAACCTTGTTAAAGTCCTGGCCTTCACAACATCCTCCGGCAAGGAGTTCCACAGGCTATGCACTGTATGAAGAAATTATTGTGTTTGTTTTAAACCTGCTGCCTGTTAATTTCATTTGGTGACCCCCTACTTCTTGTATTATAAGAAGGAGTAAATAACACTTCCTTATTTATCATCTCTCCACCAGTCAGGATCTTGTAGACCTTTGTCATATCCCCACTTAGTTGTCTCTTTTCCAAGATGAAAAGACCCAGTTTTATTAACCTCTCCTCATACGTAAGCAGTTTCTTATCCCTAATCATATCTGTTGCCCTTTTCTGAAGCGTTTTCAATTCTAGTGCATCTTTTTTGAGATGAGGCAACCACATCTGCATGCAGCATTCAAGTCATGGGCATACCATGGATTTATATAGAGGCAATATGGCATTTCTGTCTTATTATGAATCTCTTAATGTTTCCCAACATTCAATTTGCTTTTTTGACTGCCACTGCACATTGAGTGGATGTTTTCAGAGAACTATCCACAATGACGCCAAGATCTCTCTCTTTCGAGTGGTAACAGCTAATTTATATCCCATCATTCTATATTTATAGTTGAGATTAGGTTTTCCAACATGCATTACTTTGCATGTATCAGCATTGAACTTCATCTGCATTTCTGTTGCCCGCGCACCCAGTTTTGTGAGTCTTTTGACAGTTTTGTGACATCTGCAAATTTTGCCACCTCACTGTTTATCCCTTTCTCCAGATCACTTATGAACATGTTGCATAGGATTGGTCTCAGTACAGACCCCTGGGGGCACCGCTGGTTACCTCTCTCCATTCTGAAAACTGACCATTTATTCCTACCTTTTGTCTCTTATCTTTTAAGACCTTCCCTCTTATCCCATGACAGCTCACTTTGCTTAAGTCGTTTGGTGAGGGGCCGTGTTGAAGATTTTCTGGAAATCTTGGTACACTATATCCACTGGATCCCCCTTGTCCACATGCTTGTTGACCTCTCCCTCAAAGAATTCCAGTAGATGAGTGAGGCGTGATTTCCTATAAAAAAACATGTTGGCACTTCCCCTGCAAATGATGTTCATATATGTGTCTGACAAGTCTGTTCTTTTAGTTTCATCCAATGTGCCTGGTATTGACGTTAGACTTACTAGCTTGTAATTGCCAGGATCCCCCCAAGAGCCCTGCATAAAAATTAGCATCTCATTAACTATCCTCCAGTCATACAGCACATGGCCAAGGGGGCCAAGTCAGGATTGCACAGGCAACCTGGATTTGGGCATTTCCTACCTTGCAAGTGCTTGAGTTTGCCCCTTGAATGATGCCCATGCCACGGTGTTTGTGTGTAACTTCATGCGCAGTACAAAGACTCAGAGACGAGGAAGTGTCCGTGGACTGCTGGGCGCTCTTGGGGAATGGAAGGTGCTGCAGAAATCCAGGAGAGTTAGGAGCATGAATCCCACTGATTCTTCCATAGAACTTGCGCGTCTAACTCCCTTAAGTGCTTTGGGAAGTCTCCCCCTTGGGGCACTCTCATTAGCAAATCCACAACACCAGGTAGAGCCAGGAGCTCTGGCCAGAGCAGCTCATACCCGGCAGACCCCCTGGCAGCGCCAGTGTCTCGGGACATTCTCACCTGTTGACAGCTCCGCCTGTTGACAGCTTGCAGATGGTTTCCAAGGCCTGATGGCCGTGAAGTGTGGCGTCTCCCCTCCCCCGATTGCCCTGTCCCCCACCTAGCAAATCCACAACACCAGGTAGAGCCAGGAGCTCTGGCCAGAGCAGCTCATACCCGGCAGACCCCCTGGCAGCGCCAGTGTCTCGGGACATTCTCACCTGTTGACAGCTCCGCCTGTTGACAGCTTGCAGATGGTTTCCAAGGCCTGATGGCCGTGAAGTGTGGCGTCTCCCCTCCCCCGATTGCCCTGTCCCCCACCTCCCCCCTCCTACGCTTTCCAGCCGAAAGGCTCAAGTGCCTGGGATTATAACATTCAAAAGCGGCTCCACCAGGGGAAACGGGGGGGGGGGAAGGAGGAAAAGGAGCAAATAATATTATTAGGAGACGGCACCCTCTTCTCATCTAGCCACCTTCCTCCCCTCCTGGGAGCCCGCGGGAGGCTCAGGGTTACCAGAACTCCATGCCTGTGGATATTCCTGTGCATCAGCTTGAATCAGATTCGCTGCAAATCACCGGCCTGGGAAGGGTCCAGTTGGGGGCTGGCAGAGGGTTGTGGCATGTGGGTCTTGGAAGGAGGCCTCGGGTATGAAGGATTATATCGCTCAGCTCTGTGGGATGCTGGCTTTTGGCTTTCCTTCCGCCAGCACCATCGCCTCTCCTGAATGGGGGTGGGGGAGCCAAGGAAGGGGGGTTATTTAAAGAAAATGTCGTTTCCTTTGCCAGGCCCCGGTCACTGGAACATACTGTTTTATTCGCTCCCTTCGCCTCTGCTCCTTCCTCCCTCCCTGCTGGGAGACGGTTCTTTCTTCCCGCCGCGCATGCTTTCCTCTCACGGCGTTGGCCCTCGTCCCCACGGAGCAGGAAAGGGCGGGTTGGGGCCCAGAACGGCCGCCTTACTTCAAGTGGCACAGGTCAAATTAGTAGGGTCACGGTCCAGTTCTGTCTGCGCTGCTGACTCGCTTCTGCCTCGGGCAGGTCACGCCTCTTCTCTGTCCTCACACCCCGACCTGAAGGGTGTGAGAGGGGGCGAAGGGGTAGTACTGCTTTGTCTGATCGGGTTGCTGAATGGCTGTGTGCTGCCGAAGCGTTTGGCCTGGCCGTTGGGTGAAAGGAACTGAACGGGCCCAGCACCCTCAGCCAGCGGTCTGCCCCCGTCCTTGCTGGAATTCGGAGACGCCGCAGGGTGCGGCAGCCTCGGGATGGACCCTGCCCTGGCGCCTGAAGAGGCAGGAAGTGAGGGAGGGGGCGGAGTGAGACAAAAGTCTGGCGACGGGTGAGAGACCGTTAGTCCAAGGTATGTTTATGTCAGGCGGGTAAAAGTCCTACTGGGAGTTTGGCTGATTAGCCACGCGTGCCGAAGCCAGACCTTCTCTGTGGCCGCCTTGCTGGTGGCCTTGCCAAGCATCTCTGGAGGAGAAGACCCGAGTGTCACAAGCCAGTGCACTGAGCCACCACGGTGCTGGCCTGCAGCACCTCTCTGTGTCTCTGCAGAGTTTAATTCCTTTCTGGTCTTTCATCTTCTTCTCTCATGTGGTTCAAAGGTGCTGAGCCACCGTCCCTGTTCTCTCCAAATCCAGCAGCACTGGTACTTTGCTAGGCATGGAAGGGCCCCATCCAGCCCTCCTCGACTGGGAGGCGTTGGCTGTGACACAGGATCTCAGGCAGCCATGGGCAACGCAGACTAGTGAGTGGGCCATAAGAGTGGCCCTCCTTCGTCTCAGTGGGCCGCAAGAGTGTCACAGCCAGGACGCTCTCCTGGGACAGAGGAGTTTTGCTCACTGCGCGACTGAACCGTTGCAGCGCTGTGACTGGATGCACAGCGCGAGCCCAGCTCTCACAGCCAATGTTGGGTGCAGTTGGCCTGCCCCTCCGTCATGTGCCCTGGCTGTACGTGCGTGCCACGTTGTGACGGCACGTTGGGGTTTTCCTGTCTCCTGTACCCCCGTAATGGTACGGACAGACTCCATCAGCCAGTAGAATAGAGGGTGTTTATTGCTTCTCCAGGGTACAGCACAGCACAGATGTAATCCGGTTACAGGGCAGGTCTAGGATGTCTCAGCCCCCCTTGAGATAGGGGAGACTGGGCCCCTAAATTCCAGCCCCTTTCCCTAGGCTGTCTCCTCCATGCTCCCAGACAGAAACTAACCCACTCACTTCCAGCCCTGCCCCCAGCCAGGGCTCCACTCCCCTTCTTCCCATTGTTCCGCTCCCTTGGAGATAACTGGTCAGACAGGTTCGAAGCCCCCTTGCATAATGACTCATCCCCTGCCCTGCTGGGCCGTGCTGCAGCCAGCAGCCAGTGGAGGTCACTCCCAACCCAAGCCTAGCAACCAGCAAGGTACCCCCACTACGTCACACACGTTAGGAATACTGCTAGGGAAAAAATGCCGCAGATGGACACGGGTGGAATCTGGCAAGGCTGCGTGTGGGTAACAGCAAACAAAATGCCGCACATAGAACCCTGGTGGTCGCGTGTGGCCTTCGGACCGCAGGTGGCCCAGCTCTGATCTGAGGGGTGGTGAGAAAGTGGAATCCGGGGTTGTACAGATGTGCAGAAAGGCCTCTGGCAGGGCAGACGTGGTGATATACTAGTTCCAGTAGCTTTGCCCTTTTCTTGAATCACCTGACGCCCGCTTTCTCTTCTTTCCTCCTTAGAACATTGTGTGCACTGGCAGGCTGCAATGGCACCCAGACCCTACAGTCATTCACTGCATCCAGTCGTGTGAGGTAAGCCCCGTGGCGGGGACAGTGCTTCGGGCAGGAGTTTCAGACTCAGGCCCTCGTAAGAGAGGGACCAGTTCTCCTCAGCGAGCGCTTGAATGGCCTGCAGCTGGGTTTTCTGGATTAACAGAGAGGCCAGGGTGAGTGTTCTCCGTAAGCGAAGGAGACACTTGGGCCCCGGCCGGGCACTGACAAGCGTGATGTTGCTAGACATGTCCCTGGGTGGGCGAAGCCCAAATCGTTTGAATAAGTGACCTGCCTGTGCTGAGCTCTTTGGGGGACGTGAGATTACAAGCCTGCCACTCTGCTCCCGGGCGAGCAACGGGAAGTGTGAACGGAGCCACGGCTAGAGCGAACGCCCTACGGAGTGGGGAGGCAGACTGGAACTTTCCCAAAGCGGGACTGTGTGTGGGGGGGTGGAATTTATTCACACTTCTTGGAAGTTCAAGTTCTGGAAGGAGTTTCCTGTCAGTGTTCGCTGTCCTTTATCCTCTGCATCCATACGACGAGGCGGGCAGGAATGTATTTCCGCTGGCCACGGCGCAGAGCTCTTGAAGGAATGTAAAAGCACATTGCCTCGTTGGAGGCAGCTTGAGAGTAGGAGCAACTTTGCATTGTTTTATCACGGTGTCTGGTGCTTGCTGTGCGTCTCCTGACTGCACGGTGTCTCCGTTTAATACAACGGGTGAGTTTTGAGGAGGAACGTAAGGATCCAGGGCCTGTCACTGTGAGGTCTCCCTCCGTGGCCAGTCCAGGTTAGTAGCAAGGGGGTGCCGCTCCTGTATCAGGGTGGTCTCTGTGAAATGAGTTTGCGGGTTTCAGCCCATCTCCCAGGGAGCCCCTAACTTGCTGCTGGCAGTCTCAGCAGAGAAGTACAGGCCTGAATACAGGCAGGGCTTTGCATTGAAGGGAATGAGTCCTCCGCACCCAGTGTAAGCAGCAATAAAGGACTGGGTAATGATATGGCTCCCAAGACTGTCCAGAGTCATCAGAGCTAAAGGCAATGAAAATGGTATGGAGGAGCCACTGAGCCTCGTGCGTCAGGGCTTAAGACAGTCTCTGGCGAGGTGAGATCAGGATGCAACGGTTTGTGCATGCGCGGGAGAGAATTATCCCCCACCTCTCTAGTGTAGGGTGCTTGCATTTTTCTCTGAAGGATCTGGTATGGGCCTCGGTTGGCGTGGAGCTGCTGGGAGAGCTGGACCTCAGGTGTGACCCAGCCGGCAGCGCCTGCGTTGCTATGAGGCGCAAGTTCTGCAGTGGGAGGTGGCCCCGGCAGGCAGAATTCAGCTGTGAATTTCCCTGTGCTCAGACAGTCCAGCAGGGAACGCTGTAGAGTCCCCAAGGGGGCACCTCTGTAGTCAGGAGGCGTCACCAACCCGCCCTGTAACCGCTGGGCTTGGCTCAGCAGGGGAGGTTTCCTGGCTGGCACCCCACTCACTCTTTTGTGCTCCCTGAAGGGCAAGTTGCATGCCGTGTAGGAGGGAATCTTTTTACCTACATTTCCCTTCCTGGAACCCTTCCCCCCAGCGGGTACATCCAGGCTGCACCACAGAGACCCTGAAAGCTGCTGTGCAAGGCCCCGCACCACCTGTGTGCAGAGCTCGGAAATCCATCCTCCCTTCTAGCCAGGCCCAGCCTGTAACGTGTATCTCTCTGTCGCAGCCTCTGGCTGCTTGGTCTCCTATTTGCACTGCAGTGCGAGTGGTGTAGACAGATGTTTTTCTGCCCCGCTTGCTGCAATTCACTGCAATGTGTCGTCCCGTGTGGCTCTCAAGACGCCACCCCGTCTAAGCAGTGCGGTGGCAGAAACTTGTCTTGGTTCCATGGAGCAGAGCTGCTGCGCTTTGCACCAACAGAGCGCTGGTTTTGAACTACCGACGCCAGAGGGGAGTGCATTATTTTGGGCATGGGAGCCCACCTGTGACTTGCATTCCTTGGCCTCGCGGCACCTGCCTCCGCATCCCCATTGCGTGCAGACAGCAGGAGCTTGCTGCATGAGAACGTAGAGCAACATGACCGATGGGCCGTCAGCAGGCGGCTTCACAGGGGTGCAAAGATAGCAACCTCCAGCCCCAGTTATCAACAGAGACCTCAGAGGCAAGTGGCAGCTTAAATTCCGAATGATTCTCCTGTGCAGCACCACAAGGAATAAGATCTATCGGTGGTCCTCACTGTAGTCTTTTGTCGATGCAATAGGTGGCTGTTCTGTTTCCTCCCCGGGTCCACCTCGTGTATAGCTAATAATGCACTGACTGTCCCGACAGTCAGCTGCAGTGCTTTAGATGGTCATATGTAAGATTGGGAGGCAGGAATTCCCCATTTCCTATCCTGGGTCTGCCATAGACATGCAGTACAAGCAACTAACTTACTATTTCTCTGCCCCCTTGAGCCCATTTGTAATATGTGGGTCATAAACCTCTTCTCCCCCCTCCCCCAACCAACAGGGCGAGTGTAGGGACAATGAATCAATGTTTGTCAAGGGGAAATATAAAGACCGGAATGATGCTAAGGTGCAAATTCTGTTCTCAGTTACGTGAGTGCCCTTCTGTTGATGCCCCCAGGAGTCTCGCTGGCAGCTGAGAGCAGAAATCAATTCCGAGGACTGCTGGGTAGGATTTGGCCTGCA